TTTCACTTTTCTTGATGCTAGGAAAATTTTCTTCCAGAAGCTCTTCAACTATCTCCTCTGTGGGCTTGTGTGATTGTTCCTGTTCTGGAATGCCAGTAATTCTTATGTTATTCCTCTTCATGATATCCAACATGAATCTTAGGCCTTCTTCTGATTTTTTTTATCCTTTTTTGTATTTGTTCTTCTATCTTAGTAGTTTTATAAAAATCTCTTTAAAAAGAGATTTATCTTCTAGCTCACTAGTTCTAGCTTCTATCTCTTCAATTCTATTCTTTTGCCCTTTCAATGTATTGCCGATTTTTGATATTCTATTATTAATCATTTGGACATCTTTCTGTAGGTTTTGAATTGTTTCCAATGCTCTATCTTATTTGATTGTTCCTGTAGCACTTTTCTGACTTCTTCCTTATTTTTCTCAACTGCATTGTATAGTGGGTGACCCTGCTGGTATTTAACATACTGGTGGCATAGCTTCCAGTATTATAGCAACACACAAGCCACCACAGTACAACAAACTGACAGACACATGGTGGAGATAGATGGATAGTATAAAAGTGGCATGGAGGCAGTGTCTGATCTCACAGCAGTTTCAACTTCTCTGCTGAGTTCTACCATTCATTAGAGTGAGCACACAGAACTCACTGACCATACCCAAGAGTAGAGTTGACCATGACAATGTGAAAGGAACAAAGTTTTCAGGATCTTCATTTGCTGATGGGACACAACTTACAATGAAGAGAAACATCTGTAAACATCCATTAATAATTAGAACATGAAATGTACGAATGTGAATCTAGGAAAACTGGAAGTTGTAAAAAGTGAAAGGAAACATAGTAGTGTGATGAAATGAACTAGTATTGGCCATTTTAAATTAGACTATCATATGGTTTACTATTTGGGGAACAAAGAATTGAAAAGTAATTGTGTCACATTCATCATCATAAAGAACATTTGAAGATCTATCTTGAAGTACTGTGCTGTCTGTGATAGGATAATATCCATACATCGACAAAGAAGACCAGTTAATATCACTATTATTCAAATTAATGCACCAACCACTAAGGCATGTGATGATGAAATTGAAGAAGTCTACCAACTTCTTCAGTCTGAAATTGCGCAAACAGGCAAACAAGATGCATTGATCATTACTGGTGATTGGAATGAAAAGGTTGGAAACAAAGAGGAAAGATCAGTAGTTGAATATGGCCTTGGTGACAGAAACAAGGCTGGAGATCACATGGTAGAATTTTGCAAGACCAATGAATTCTTCATTGCACATACCTTTTTAAAACAGTATAAAAGACAACTATAAACATGGGCCTCACCAGATGGAAGACACAGAAATCACATTGACTACATCTGCGGAAAGAGATGGTGGAAAAGCTCCAAATCATCAGCCAAAACAAGGCCAGGGGCAGACTGTGGAACTGACAAGTCCATGAGAGCCAAAATATGACCTTAAACATATCCCACCTGAATTTAGAGATCATCTATAGTATTTTGTTTCATTGCAATGATTATAATCCCCTCCCTACATTATCAGTTAACAGTATTTGCTTCTATTCCCTCTTTTTTGTTTTGTTTTTGATGTACACAAAAACATATAACTGTTTAAGCAACCACAGGGCACATTCTGCAAGCCAGCCTCCTGGCCGCCAGCACACAGCCTTTCTCTTTCCATGAGTCTGAAGCCCTCAGCTGCTCTGTCTCTCCATGCCATTACCTCTGCCTCCATCGCTGGTGTTGTTGCTTCTCTGGGTAGGGTCCCACATTCCGCTTATGATCTTCTCTCTTGATGGTCCTAGGGTCCTCTATTCCTGGAATGTAAGATTAACGACTGTTCCCTTTATGTTATAAAATGTCTACCTTGACAGTTTTGACAATCGCCATTAGTCATGATAACAATTACTATTGAATCAACACAATCCTATTCATATCTCCTTTCACCAGACCCATCTAGACAAGATGAAAATTATTCAGGGGTGATTTTACCTTCCTCCACACAATATGAAGCTAAACTCCCTCTTGAAAACTTGTAAGCCAGTTACTTCGTGCTTTTATAGCCTTCTTCACCTCTCCCCACCCCAATTTAGGTAGCTAAGGAGCTCTGGTAGCATCGTGGTTACGAATCAGGCTGCGAGCCGCAAGGTCAGCAGTTCGAAACTACCAGCTGTTCTGCAGGAGAAAGATGGGACTCTCTGCTCCCGTAAAGATTTACAGCCTTGGAAACCCTGTGCAGGGTCACTATGAGTCGGAACTGACTCCACGGCACATAACAACAACAACAACAACGTCTAATTAGCCCAGTCCTATCAACCCTGAGGGGATTGGCTTGATCCTTCCCTCTTGGATGGTATTTTGAGCTACTACACCCGTAGCAATTAACTTATTTCCTTTATCAAATTCTTTATCTTCCTCTAGTTGAGCTCTGGTCATCAAGTCATTGAAGCTACGTCAAATGGGTACTATCTGCAAGTTTGGGCATTCTTGTGTATATCCCATCACTTCATATCAGCTGGAAACTTCACTCTCAGTTCTAGCCATCCATAGCTAGGTCAATGTCCATGATATTGGGAGTTCCCAAGTCTCCCTAAACTTCGGACCAACCAGCCCTTCCTGTTCTCTCTCTCATCTCAAGGCTGACAGGAGTCTATGGAACACGGTCGAACTCAGCCCATATCTTAATTACTGACTTTCCCCCACTTCCACTCACATGTAGACCAATGCAGGTGCCAGGGAGCTTACATGCCTGCTCATGTGTTCTCTCTGAAGTTCAGTCTTGGAGAGGGGTTTGTCCTGAAGGGACTTGCTTGCTTGCTTTGATGGCTCTCTGGAAAAGAGCATTTTTTGTTTTCTCATTTTCTTTCAGACTTTGATTTTACAAATGAGACCAACCAGTTATCATCAGAAAAGAACAGTTATGAAGTAGTTTTATACTATCAGGAGACACTGTAAGGAAGTAAAACCTTCAACTGTACAAGGTTTTGTTTCAGAAATGACACACAAGACAGAAATGAATTTGAAAGACAACACAGAAATAAAGTGGGATGTTTCAGTCAAATGACATTCAGAAAACATAAATCTCTTTTTCTAGATCAAATAATTCACACTGGAGAGAAATCATATGAATGTATGGAATGTGGGATCCTCATTAGAAAATATTCACATCTTCCTAAACATCTGAAAGACCATCCTTGAGTGAGGTTAAATGAATGTAAGGACTGGGGAAAGACTTTTCTTCCACATCTTATTAGACATCAGAAAATTCATACTGATTTTCAACCCTATGAATGTAATGGATGTGAGAAAACTTTTAGATTTCTTTCACACCTCATTCAACACCAGATAATTCATACCAATGTTAAACCCTATGAATGTAAGCAGTGTGGGAAGGTCTACAGACATCATTCTCAACTTCCTGAATACCAGTAAACCCATATTCATTTGAAATACTATGAATGCAAAGAATGTGGAAAACCTTTTACATTGATTCGACATACGCGTGTAAATCAGAAAGTGTATCATGGTGTTAAACCCTATATTTGTAAAGCATGTGGGATGGCCTTTGGTCATCATTCCGGTCTTTTTCACCATAAGAGAACTCATACTGGTGAGAAGCCATAGGAATGCAAACTGTGTGGAAAGGCCTTTGCTTGTAGCTTTTTTACTTACTGAACATCAGAGAAGTCATACTGGTGAGAAACCTTCTGACTATAGAGTGTGGAGAAGCCTTCAATAGGAGTGTATGCCTTTTTTAAGCACAGGAGAATTCACAGTAGGGAGAAACTGAATTGTAATGAATGTGGGAAAGCCTTCTGCAGAGGTTCTCAACTTATACATCAGAGAATTCATACTGAAGAGAAAGCTCCTAAATGTAAAGAGGGTGAGGAAGCCTTTAGTGGGAGTGCATGCCTTCTTAAGCATTGGAGGATTCACAGCAGGGAGACACTGATTGTAAGGAATGTGGGAAGGCCTTCTGTGGAGACTCTCAACTTATACAACATCAGAGAAGTCATACTGGTGAGACACCTCATGAATGTAAAGTGTGGGAAGACTTTTAAACTTTATTCCCAACTTATTCAACATCAGATAATTCATACTGATGTGAAACCAGATGAATGTAAACAGCGTGGAAAAGTCTTGAGTCGTGTTTAAAATCCATGACTTTAAAGACTTTAAAATCCATGAGTCAATTCCTGCTGGGAAGAAAATCTATGAATGTAAGAAATGTGGAAAAACCTTTAGACTCAGTTCTCAACTCACTTATCATCAGATAGTTCATACTGGTTTGAAGCCCTACATATGTAAAGAATATAACAAGGCCTTTAGTTGTATCTCAGGTCTTTCTCAACTAAAGAGAATTCATACTGGTGAAAAACGCTATGAATATAAAGAATGTGGCAAATGCTCAGCTTACTCAAACTCAGAGAACTCATGCTGGTCTGCCACCATACAGATGGAAGGAATGTGGGAAGGCCTTTAGTCATCAAAGATTTCACAGTGGAGAGAAACTCTTAATGTAATAAGAGCAAGGAAAGCTTTAGCCATGCAAAGCCTCTTCCTTTCATTATTACTACATCAACAGCTGATGATGCCATGGTTAGGATTAAATGCACTAACATGAAATATAAACCCTTGGAAGGTTATCTATCACATAATATTTGCTTAATAAATATTGCTAATGTTGTTCTGTACCACTGAGTCTATTCCAACTTATAACAAGCTTACATGACAGGGTAGAACTGCCCCCTATAATGTTTCCCAGGTTTTAATCATTATGGGATTTGACGGGCAGATCTTTTCTTCCACGGAGCTGCTGGCAGGCTCAAACCATCAATCTTTCGATGAGCAACCTAATGCTTAACAATTTCTCTCTCTCTCTCTCTCTCTCTCTCTCTCTTCCTTCCTTTCCTTTCTTTCTTTCTTTCTTTTTTAACTAATTATCAACTACTGTAAATGTTTATAACCAATAGTATTGTAAATTTATGGGGAAGGGTGAGTATATGAAAATGATGTATGTCTTAGATTTTGTACCATTACTCATCTCTTAGTTTAAGGTAATTTATTCTGGAGAACATCCAATGTAATATATTTTACAAAAATTTCCAGGAGCCATTTTTTATTTACAACACTGTCACCTGAAGGTTATTGCTAGAAAGGAAGTTTATGCCTTTTTTCAATGAAAAGATGTTGAGAGTATAAGTATGAGAAACACAATTATTTGAAGAAATATTTTATAATAAATTCTATAACACAGATAACATGTGCATGAATAATTTTAGAACGATCAGCATGAGACTGGTCCCTATGAGATGGAGGCTAAAGACATCTCAATGTCTGACTTCTCTAACACCTTGTTGTTGTTGTTGTTGAGTACCGTGGAGTCAGTTCCGATTCATAGCAACCCCGCACAGAGTTTCTGAGGCTGCAAATCTTTACAGGAGCAGAAAGCCTCATCTTTTTTCTGCGAAACAGCTGGTAGTTTCGAACTGCCAATCTTGAGGTTAGCAGCCCAATTCATAACCACTACACTACCAGAGCTCAGAAAGGTTACACCCCCTCCATAATCCTTGGTATCAGTCACCACTCCTTTTCTCCCTCATGTTCCAGGGTTCTGTAACATGCTGCAATGTCTTACAGAACTCACAACTGTCAAAGGAAATGATGCACACAATTGTGGTGGTTGGCAAGTCCCAAATCCTAAGTTCAGAGACCGGTCTGGAGGATTCTCACTCACTAGTTGGCAGGTCACAAGAAAGGCTGTTGAGGAATAAGGCTTCGGGAGCTGATGAATTGGATCAGGTGATGGACTGGGAAGTCCACGAACTGGAGGTCAGATGGAATCAAATGCAAGATTCAAGCCAAGAGAGTGATTTTTGCCAAAGCATTCATATATGTTAGACTCAGATCATTCCCCAAAGGAAAAAGTAAGGGTGGTGACTTGAGTCACACCCTCCAGTAACATTGTTGTTAGGTGCTGCTGAGTCAGTTCTGACCCAGAGCAACCTTATGCACAACAGAACAAAACACTGCCCAGTCCTGCACCATTCCTCACAATTGCTGCTACACGAGCACGAGCCCATTGCTGCTGCCACTGTGCCAATCCATCTCATTGGGAGTCTCTCTCATTTTTTGCAGACCCTCTACAAGCATGATGTCCCTATTCAAGGACTGGTCCCCCCTGATAGGCTTGAAGTCTGACAGATGAAGTCAGGCTATCTTGGCTTCTAAAGAGCATGCGGGTTGTACTTCTGGCAGTCCATGGTATTTTTACTATTCTTCTCCAACACTGTAACTCAAATGCATCAGTTCTTCTATGGTCTTATTTATTGTCCAACTTTCACATGCATATGAGGTTATTGAAAATACCATGGCTTGGGTCAGGTACATTTTTGTCCTCAAACTGACATCTTTGCTCTTGAACATTTTAAAGAGGTCTTGTGCCACAGATATGACTAATGCAGCACATTGTTTGATTTCTGTTGCTTCCATGAGTGTTTACGGTGGATGCAAGCAAAATGAAATCTTTGATAACTTCAATCTTTTCTCCATTTATTATGCTATTTATTGCTCCAGTGGTGAGGATTTTTGTTTGCTTTACATTGATGTGCAACCCATACCAAAGGCTGGAGCTTTTGATCTTCATCATTAAGTATTTTAAGTCCTCTTTTCTTTCAGCTAGCAAGATTGTATATTTGCATATCACAGGCTGTTGTTAATGAGTCTTCCTCCAATCATGCTATGTTCTTCACCTAAGGCAGCTTCTTGGATAATCTGTTCAGCATACAGACTGAATAAGTATAGTGAAAGAATACAGCCCTGGCGCACACCTTTCCTGATTTTAAACCATGCAGTGTGCCCTTGTTCTTTTTGAACGACTGCCTTTTGGTCTATGTACAGGTTCCACATGAACACAATGAAGTGTTCTGGAATACTAATTTTCTGCAATATTTTCCATAGTGCGTCATGATCCATACTGTAGAAAGACTCTACATAGTCAACAGCACAGGTAAACATCTTTCTGGTATTCTTTGCTTTCAGCCAAGATCCATTTGACATCAGCAATGACATCCCTCATTCCACATCCTCATCTGAATTTGGCCGGAACCTCCGGCAGTTTCCTGTTAATATTCTGTTGCAGCGATTTTTGAGTTACCGTTAACAAAATTTTACTTGTATGTGATATTAATGATATTGTCCAATGATTGCCAGCCACTCCACAGGAGAACGAGGGGGGTTTCTGCTCCTGCAAAGATTTTTTTTTTTTTTAAGTTTTCATTGTGAATTGAGTGAAAGTTTAGAGGACAGATCATCAGTTTTACATTCAACAAATCAGACACGTTGTTTCATTACAATGATTATACTCCCCTCCATGTACCATCATCAGTCAACAGTATTTCTCTCTATTCTTTTTTTTTCTTAACATTCAGACATGTATAATTTACACCACCACAGGCCTCATTCTGCAAGTCTGCCTCCTGGTCACCAGCTCTCAGTGCCTCTTTTTCCATGAATCTAGAGTCCTTAGCTGCTCCCTCTCTCCCTCTCCCCATTTCTGCCTCCATCTCTGGCATCGCTGTTTCCC